ACGCGGGCAGTGGGGATGCACGGGGGAGGCGGAGCGGTGGGTTGGTGGGGGTGGAATGAGCGACGGGATGTAGTGACCGATCGACGGGTTAGTGGCGGCGCGGGTGCATCGAGGGATGAGTCTAGTATTGGTGTGTTGACCTGAGTGGCATCGCATGTGCATGTTTCTATGTCTGATTCACCCAGCCGCCCGTCATCCCGAGTGGCCTCGGCACGCCCCGCCGATAAGAGCGCGCGTCTGAAGGGCGGTGCCGCGTTCTTCTCGGCTGGGCTTGCGCCCGTGCGTCCACGGTCCGCCCTGTCCACTCTCGCCCCTCCCACCCGCGCTTGAGCCCGTTCGACTCGCCCACCCGCCCCTCGACCGATCCACTCGCGCATCTCACCGCGCCATCCCAGGACGAGAGCGCGGCCGACATCGCGAAGGTGATCGAGAACGTCCCGCCGGGCGACGTTGCAGCTGGCACAGGCTAGCATCGGGGGTTCGCATTCGCTCCTCGCCTGCCTCCTCGCCGACAGAGATATTGCGAGTCGGGTAGAGGATGCAGCGTGCGCGGGGTGGGGGAGCGGGCATCTGCCTGGATATGCGTAGGGCGATGGGTGGAGGGTAGATGGATGGATGACGGGATGAACGAGTGGGTGGATGGGGCGGAATGCAGGGGTGAACGGTGAAGGGGATGATTGTGCGCAGGGGGCGGCGGGTCATGATAGGTCGATGCGGGGCATGACCATCACTGCGATGAAAACGACAGATGCGACGTGTAAGACGATGCACTCAGAAAGGTGTGTAAGATGAGGGTAGCATCAGATGCGGCGCCCACCCCCGTCCGCCAGAGGCCGCGCGTCGGTCGGGGCGGCCTCGTCCGACGTGATCCCCGACATGTGCACGGACTACGCGTGGTGATGCTCCTCGCGGCGCCATGGTGGGAGCGGGTGCGCGGGTGGGTCGGCCGATGCATGGGGGGCAGTTGGATGGTGAGAGGGCGGAGGGGTGGCTAGCACGTGTTATGACATGACGTCATGGGTGGATGGGCGGGGCAGGATACAGGCTGGAGAGAGGCGGGTGGGCGCACACCTTCGTTTCTGTAAGTTCGGTGCGGGGCGCAGCGACAGTGCTGCCAGCTTGGCCCCGACGTCAGACGCCTGCGGGGCCGCCAGGCCGACTGGCGCGACTCCGCGAGCTCGCACTTGCGAAAAGTAACTCGGCACTCACGGCCGCTCGCTGGGCGTGTGAGGTCATGTAAGCCACCCGCGCGAGGTGCTGTGCACCCGTCGTGCGATGTGTCCTGTGAGCCACCCGCGCGAGGTGATGTACACCCGCCCGCGTGGCACCCGTGAGAGAGGTTACGCCTGGCATCCCATTGTGCTGCGTGTGATTCCCGACGCTTCGCGCACCCCGACGCTTCGCGCATCCCCGTCGGCCCGATCAGAAACGATGCCCGCGACAGTTGCCTGGGGGTGGCAATTTGGTGAACTTGCAACAATGGTCGAGTGTCGCAGCATCGGTGAAACCCGACGGCTGGCAATCCGTGACCGTCTCGCACCGTCCTCGCGCCGCATCGGGCAACGTCAGCGGCCGCTGAATTTGCCCGATGCGCGCGTGTGTCCGCCAACTACCATATTAGTGATGTTTGTGCATGGGGGGGGCGGGGGGCGGGCGTGCGCGCATTCGCGTGGCGTGGGCGCTTCGCCGCGGTGAAGTCAGCCGTCGGGCGATATTGGGGCAGCACGGGCCTTCGACATTCACTTATCCGCTGGGATGGGAATGCGGGGGGGGGGGGAGGGTGGTGAGGGGGGGGGGGGGGGGGGGGGGGGAGGGGAGATGGGGTGCTCGCTACAACGCGCGCGCCCATAATCCCACCAGCCCTCTGAGCGTCGGTGGTTTAGCGCGTTTCATCTTCCACGCATTGTTCTTCCCTTTCGGGGAGGGGTTTACCCCTCCCCCTACCCCCTCCCCACTGACCTGGACAGGGGGGGTGCGATCGGTCAGATCGCCCAATATCGACACCCCTCACGAGGATCGTGGCTCCTGGGGGGGGGGCTGAAATTTAGGAACCCCCCTTTGTTGAACGATCTCCTCCAAGATGGCTTCGAGAGACGTCTTGGGCCCCCTCTTGGGCCCTGCGCGCGGGCGGGCGGAGCGCCGCCCGCCCGTCTGCAAAGCCCAAACGCCCACCAAAACGTTCGAAGACACTTCCAATACGCCACCATGGAGGAGGACGAGGCGGATGGGGGGGATGAGAAGGGGGGGGAGGAGGAGAGGGAGGATGGGGGAGAGGAGGAGGAGGAGAAGGTGGAGGAGAAGGCGGAAGAGGGGAGGGTAACAGCTGCCGACCATCGGCGCTCTTCGTTCGAGTGCCTGGTGTAGGATGGGCTGGTGGGGATATGCGAAGCGTCAATCATTGCTTGTGGACTTGAGCTCGGTAGTGTCGCGAGGGGGGGCGATGTACCCATAACTGCTTGCGAATGTGAGCTCAGCCAGAGGAGCGCCGCGTCGCCATCCCCGCCCTCGACGTTCCCCCCCCTGCAATCGCATTCCCATTCCCCTCCCCCCCCGTCCCCCCTTCTCCTCGATATCCCAGTGAGCGCCCCTCCAACTCCTCCCCGCTCTTATCGCCTTGCGACCCGCAGCACGTGCCTTAGGCTCTGGATGGCGAAGCGGGCCGCCAGCTCCCCACCCGTCTTTAAGGACATCCGCATTTACATCCGCAGCAAGCAGTTCAGTCCCCCTCGGCGCAGCCCAGCGCCCGAGATGTCCGACGGTCCCCCGCCCATGGCGCGCGCTGCCTGCGGCAGCGAGGAGCACTACACGTTCGACCCCGAGTGCTCCGCCCTTTCGAGACCGTGCGGGAAGCACGGGGGCATCCGCCCCGACGGGCGGCCCGTCGACCCCGTGGACCTCGGCGGCTCCACCGATGAGGAGGACCAGGCCCCCACGAGCCAGAGCGTCGGCATGTTCGCGGAGACGTTGCCCGGCATGCCCGCATTCGCCCCCGTCGGAGCCACGCCGATCGAGGGGGGGGCGGCATCGGCTCGCGACTTCATCCAGCGCCGCTGCGCAGAGGTCGCGGCCGCGCGGGCCGCCGGGAGCGACAGTGCCGCTGAGGAGGTGAAGCCCGCTGGGGAGGTAACGCCCGCTGAGGAGGTGAAGCCGCCCGCCAGGAGCGGCGGCGGCGCCAGCGCCGCTGAGGAGGTGAAGCCCGCTGAGGAGGTGACGCCCGCTGAGGAGGTGCAGCCGCCCGCTGAGGAGGTGACGCCCGCTGAGGACGTTGGAGGGCGCCCGCGCTCGGGGGCGCGCGGGCAGCCGCTTCGGAAGGGGGGCGAGGCGGCGCCGCCCTCGCCCGCGCTGGCGGCGCGATGTGGCCGCGCCCGCGCCCGCGCCCATGCGCCCGCGCGCACGCTCGCCGACGGAGTGGCGGCCGCGCGGGATCGCACGCGGTCCCCGATCTGCTCTCCGACGGAGTCGGCTGCCCCCCCGACGCCCAGCACCGTCGCGGGCGCCCCGCTGGGCGTCGCTGGCGATCCCACTCCCGCAACTCCGCTGGGACAGACGGGCGCGCCTCCCCCCGCGCCTCAGCCCCAGGCAGACATCGAGAACACGTTCGCACAGGCGCTGGATAACATCTCGTCGCTTGGTGATGCCAGCGCCTGGGACCGCGGGAGGGCCGCAGTGTCGGCATTGGCGAAGATGCTGTCGCAGGTCAGGGAGGGTGACGACGCGGCTAGGTTGGCCGAGCTCGTGATGATCGCGCAGGGCGAGGTGGCCTGCAGGGATGCCAAGCGCCACGAGGCAGCCGACGCAGCGGCAGGCATGACAGTCCAGCCGCCCCAGAGGCTGCAGATCCCTGTGCTGGCCCCAGTGGCCGGCGCGACCGCTCCCGCCATGTCGGCGGCGCCCGTGGTCGCGCCGACGCCCCCGCAGCCCGCGGCCATCCCGACGCCGAAGCAGCACCTGGCGGCGCACGGCACCATCCCAGAGCCCGCGTCCTGGGCCGACGGCAGGAGGAGACGCTGGAAGTCGGAGCTGCTGCAGTCGCCACCGAGTGATGATGAGGAGGAGACGCCGTGCCTGCCCCAGTTTCGAGCTGGAGCCGAGGCGGAGACCCCGTGCAAGCTGGGGCCATGGCATTCGACGTCAACGGAGGTCTACCCGCCCGCTCGCGGGCTCAAGGTGCCGCCGCCCGCCGCCCCCATGTCCAGGGTCGATCGGCTCCTCCAGCGGATGTCCCCGATCGAGGACGCCACGGGGACCCCCTTCCCCGCGGTGTACGACGCTGCCAAGGACAGAACGGGTCTGGGGGTCAAGGAGAGGATGACTAGAATATGATGAGGATGACTCCCCTCAGCCTAAGCTGAGGAGGGTGGGGATGATGTGGTAGTGCCGACGATGACGACGACCACGACGACGACGGCGGCGACGACCACGACGATGGCGACGACGGTAGTGACGACGACGGTGAGTTGAGTAGGGTAGGGGTCAACGACAACGGGGGGATGTGCCATCTCTCCCCCGCCTCCCGCGAGGACAACATTCCCTCGCAGGTGGTGGACGGCATCACGGCAGAGGACATCGCCACGGCATGCCGCTTCAAGGCCAGCCCCGTGGCCACTGCCGTGCCAGCCAGCTCGCTGCTGGGCAAGGTGTCCCCCGCAGTCGGCGGCGGCGACGTCGCTGGTGGCAGCGCCCCAGCGGTGCTGGACGTCAAGGTGCCAAGCGACGTCATCTACAAGCAGGACTTCAGATAGTAAAAGCACTAACCCTCATTGAGCCCACGACGTTGACGCGTGTTCGGTGAGCTATGGGCGTTAACGCCCATAGTTCACCGAACGTTTGTCGACGCCCCACGGGCGCTGGTTCGTGCCAGATATGGCACTGGTTCGTGCCATATATATATGTATATATATATATATATAGATGGCACGAACCAGTGCCGTGCATGGCGGGACGTCAACGAGTTATAACTCACCGACGCCCCGCCATGCACTGGTTCGTGTATCCCTCAGGACGTGCTGGACGAGCTCAGCCGCGCGCAGCGCGCTATTCAGATGGGTGCTGACGCGCTGTGCGCGGATGCGCTCCAGGACAAGCTGAAGAACTTCTACGGCCTCGGTGTGATGAGCAACCTTCGGGCGCTCCAGCACGGCGACGCAGGTCCCGATGGCCATGGCGATGCGTCTGCCGACGCCGCTGAGAAGCGGGCGAAGAAGATGGCGGAGGAGGAGGAGATGTGGGAGGAGCTGAAGCGCGGCAGTTTCATGTTCCAGACGCGGGGCGAGAAGATATCGTCGATGTGGAACCGCGCGCTGGCGGCCGACAGCAAACTCAAGGAGGACTACAAGAACACGCTCGGCCTCCCGAACAAGGCCAAGTTCAGGGCCGACTGGGGCGAGAAGCGCTACAAGCAGTTCTGGGAGAGGCGCTCGAAGACGACGACGAACAGAAAGTCGGAGAAGCTGAGTGGGAAGTACCTGGCGCTGGCCAGGATCGCCCACAAGGAGGGGGGAGGGAAGGACGGGCTCAAGGCGGCCACCACGTACGCGACGAATTGTATCATCCTGGGCAAGCACTGGGTGAAGTGGGACTCAATGACGAACACGCTCAAGTTCTACTACGTCGAGCACGAGATCTCGGACGAATACGTCACGGCCTGGACGGCGCATGAGGAGTGGTGCAATGCGCCGCAGCCTGTCCAGGACGCCCTCTGCCTCGAGGGCGGCGGCGCGGCAGGGCCATCAGCGATGGCGGCTGACGGCAGCGATGGTGCGTCGACGTGCGGCGGTGCACTCGCCAAGGCGAAAGCCAAGGCGAAGGGCAAGGCTGCTGCAGTCATGAGGAGGCCCGCTGCAGCCCATCGCGATGATGAGGCGGATGAGGAGGCGGCGCTGGTTGACACGACGGCGCCCGAGGCGGGGGAGCTTGAGGAGGCGGGGGGCGCTTGTGAGGAGGCTGGTGATGACGACGACGGCGAGCCCCCAGTCAAGCGAGAGAAGACGTCCCTCGACGTCGCGATGGCCGACTTCAAGAAGGAGAAGTCGTTGTTCCGCGGGCTCATGCAGCAGACCTCCACGACGTTGGACCTCATCGAGTCGAACTCGGAGTGGGACTGGGCCAAGAACGAGCAGAACCGCGGGGCGCTGGAGAGTGCCCAGCAGACGGTGCCACGGGCATGAAATCGACCCCGCTGGGCGACGATGCGCGACCACTCGATCGAGCCAATCGTGGCGCTCGCCCGCCTCCGCCACCTACGAACCACCTCTCACCCACGCTTGCCCTCCCCTGCCTGCCTGGCCCCCTCCCGCTGGGCGGCGTCCGTCCTTGGCCGCAGCGCCGCGACGGGGCCGAACGCGAGCTCGCCGATCCTGGGCGAATCGGGGGGTTGGCGAGGGGATGTTCGGGACTGTTTATGATATTTGTGTTTGTGTATGCATGTGTGTTGTTGTGTGTGCATGCGTGCGCGTGTGTAAGTGTTCGTGTGCGTGTGTGTGTGTGCGTGTGTGCGTGGAGTCGTAGGCGCGCTAATATCTGACGGGGGTAACGGAGGAGGAGAGGCGCGCGCGGGTGGGGCGTCCGCCAGGTGCAGACAGCGGTGAACAGCACTGCGGCCTTGAAGGAGCTCTTGGCCGTCAACGACTACGGTGACATGAAGACCCGCATCGGCGCGAGCCAGCTGGAGGTGAACTTTCAGAAAGGGGCCACGGCGCTGAAGGAAGGGGGGCGATGAGGAGGAGGACAAGACGATGACACACGAGGGAGATGGTCGATGAATACATGTAATGCCGAGGATGATGATGCAGATGGGGATGTCTGCGACATGTGGTATGGGGTCGAGGAGGGGGGGTACGAGATGAGGGGTGATGGTCGAGGGTTGATGAGAGGGGGAGCGGGATCAGGGGTGGCGGTAATGGGGAAGATGATTGTGAAATGATAGAGAGTAGCATGTCAGGGGCGGGCGCGCCTTCTCCTGCTGGCTCCCAGGAGCCGCTCAAGAACCTGCAGACGGCGGTGTCGAGGATCCTGCGCATGCACAAGCAGACGCTCGAGCAGATCAAGAAGCAGACGAGCAAGGCGGGCAAGCGGCAGCGCCAGTCAGCCTGAGCCTACCCTTGCGGGACGAATGAAGGGTTTGGAGGGTCAGAAAGGGAGGATGTAGATGAAATGTTTGGAGGGTCAGGAAGGGAGGATACCTTTGAGTCCGCTTGGTGCAAGCCAGAGCATGTTAGTGATTGGCCGCACTCAGTTTTCGATGTGAGTGCGGCTCGATCGAGCTCGGGTGCATTTGCTAGCGCGTTTTTGTGTTCTGGTTGTCGTCAGTCGGCGTTTCTCTTCAAAAAAACAGCTTCATATATTGTTAAACGTGTGTGGAACTGTTTTGTGAAGAGAAACGTCCGGTGAAAGACCGGTGAACGGACGGGTGAATCACATGAACGTTCACCGGTGAACGAGCGGTGAAGGGAGATCGCTCCCGCCCGATACATCCCCGAAAAACGCATAGTTCACCGGTGAACGAGCGGTGAACGGTGACCGGTGAACGACCGGTGAACGACCGGTGAACGACCGGTGAACTCACATGTGACATCGCCAGGTGTGTTTGTACATGTGATTGCGTTGACTTTTTAGATGCAGAGTGCGCCCGAGCTCACAGTTTGCAGTTGAGTTTGCAGTTGAGTTAGTGCACATCATGATGTGCACGGCGCTGGCGAGATGGCGCCTCAATCTTTTGGCATAGGCCCCTGGCTGGGTGCATTTGCAGGCGAGGTGCAGGGCTGCACCAGCGAAATGTATGCTTCGGGGCAGTGCCGTTCGGTGCTCCAGCAGCGACGCGACTGCTGGAGTCGAGAGATCGGGGGCCCGCCTGGGCCGACGTTTGCACTGGTGGCGGGAGGGTTCGAGGGGCGATGAGAAACGTACATCGGTGAGTGCTTCAGGTACCTACTGCACATGATTAACGTGTCTGCACATGCGTGGCTATGCAACCATACGCGCATGCATAACCGTACGTGCTCACACCATACGTTTCACATTATGTCATGTACTTGTGTCTACCGAAGCACACGCGATGCGACGTTGGATTGTCAGCGACTGGTATGTTCGAGCGATCGAAATGCGATGCGTCAATAAATCGTGCACGACGTCGAAGTTTCGGCTCAACTTCTTCCGTAGGGGGGTCGTTTCGCCAATCGAACATGATGCACCAACCGCCGCGACGACGACGACGCCATGGTGTCCCCGATGCGAGTGCCCCCGAGCTCGATCCAAGACAGGCGGGGTCGAAACTGTTCGATCTGATCTTGGACATGTACTCGCAGTGTGCTCCAGTGTCTGCAAAGGATGTGTGCGTCATGTGTCACTATTTACACTTGGCTGATGTTGAGCGGGCGTACTTCGAGGATTATGGCATGGCCCCTGGGCACCAATCTGGCAAATACAAGCATCACTCGAACAGAATGTTGCCAACGACGTGCCCAACCACCCGTGTAACAATGCCGTCATACGTTCGTGGTCATGCAGAGCAGGGTTCCAGGAAAGTACCGTTTACACTCTCATACGCATCAGTAGCTAAGGATATGTCCCTGACACCACAAGCACTTGCTCTTCTAGAAAACGGAGACTACGAGAACCCGAATTCCCCACTTAACCTACCATGTTACAGAGACAACGTACTGACGAAGACATGTGCAGACGAGACTGGGAGGTTGCCGCTGCCTCTTGCCGTCTATGTGGACGGCGTGCGGTTCACGGCCCTGCAGGCTGGGCGTAGTGACAGCATTCTCGTTGCGACGTGCGTCAACCTCTTGACGAATAAACGTCATGTCATCGGTGTTCTGCGTCAGCTCGACATGTGCAGGTGCGGGTGTAATGGGTGGTGTTCAGTATTTGTATTTCTTTCGTACATTGCATGGGTGATCGGCGCACTTGTTCAAGGGAAGGTGCCCGATACGAAGTGGGACGGTAGTGATTGGGTGACGGGGAGGAGCGAGGGGCGATGAATGGGCAACACGACTTCGGGTTCAGGTGCATGTTGTTATACGTTAAGGGCGATTGGAGCGAATTTGCAAAAACGTTTGGTTTGGGATCGCGGGGGAAGATTTTGAACCCGTGCCCCATATGTACGACCGACAAGCCGAATATGCACGCGTGCTACGATTGTATGAACACTGGAGGCGTGATGCTCACAGAGCGCACGTTGCTGGATTACGAGCGCGCGTGCAAGACGTGCGAGATTGATGTGCGAATCGATTCGGAAGACGTTCGCATTCGGGTTGTACGAGCACTGGTATATTACAAGGCGAAAAAGGGCGCGGGGAACCACGGGCGGGCCTTGAAGCACGATGTCGTTGATCTTGGCCTTCGTTGTGGCGACCGCCTCGAACCTCACGTAGGGATGGTAGACATCAGAAACATCGATGAGGTAGGGTTCAGAGGCGTCGCTAAATTTTGGAGGGTGCACAAAGACGAGAAACACCGACTGATGGACTCGGTGGCTCACCGCTGCCCTTTATTCAAGCAAGAATGGGGGACGAGCCCTGCAACAACGATGGCCATCGACAGTCTGCACGCAGTCTACTACGGCCCCATCACTCGGTGGGCCAGCACGGGATTGTGGAGATTAATTAAATTGAACCCATGGAAATACACAGGGGACAAAGACACGGTCTATACTAAGTGTTGCCAACGCATAGAAGCTGATATGTTCACGTGGTTCGATCAGAAACAGATTGCACATGACCGTCGCCTGGGAGGGCTGACAATTAAAATGCTCGGTTCTGACCGCGGAATGATGGACGACGGGGCCCGCCTTCACCCAGGCGCCATGTTAAAAGCGAAGGCTGCTGAATCGAGGGTGCTCATGGATTTCACCAGGTGGGAATTGGAAGGTAAGGGGGCTGGAATGCCACTGCGGGAGCCTCTTTTAGCTGCTGCGACTGCCATGGACGAGTGGCTTGACGTTTTCGAGAACGCAGACACTGTGCTCACCGCCCCCCAGTACCAGAAAGCAATGGACAGTTGCAAGAAAGTTCTTATATATTCAGCAGATGCTAAAATCGAGTTCGTGCCAAAGCACCACCTGTTCGCCCACGCGACTGTCAGGAACATGGACGAGCGACATATCTCAACGTGACACGGGCGGAGGGGACATGATGTCATGGCTCTCGGGTGGTACGCGGGCGACGGCCCAGCGCTGACCGATAACCATAGCAGCATGCCCCCTCGCCCCCGTGCTACATGATGAGGCATGTTGCCAGGAGCAACTGGATGGGCAATGTAAAATTCTATTCCACGTTCATTGACGAAACACTGAACCTTACGCTCAGGAACTGCGCCCAGCGGGCACATAGGTTGACGTTCGAGGAATCGATTTTTCAATGTGTGCAGATTCAAGCAGTACTAAATCCCAACAGCAACTTTTTTGGGTCGGTTGAGTTTGCGAACCGGCGGGCTGCGGACCCATGGCGTCCGTGGGCCTGAACAACGGCGTCCCCGAGTGGATCGTGGATATCTGCCCGAAGGCCTGCCATTCTTCATTTTCTTAGGGAGGAGCGGGTGCATCGGGCATGGGAGATGGGCGTTCTGAAGACAGTGGAGATCAGAGGCATTTGAGGCCAGCCTGGAGGGATTACGGGGAGGGGCGATGAAAGGAGGTAGAGGGCTGGCGGGATAGACTATGCAGGGATGGAATATGGGGAGAGGAGAAGAAGGACGGGATAAGCGAATCATCGCGGCAACGCAGTGAGAGATACGCGATATGGAGACAGCGGGGAGCAACGGTGTGGGAGATCAGCCAGGATGGAGAAACAGACAAGGTACAAGATCAGCCCTACGCCCCCCTCCTGCAGGAGGGGGGGCATAGCGCTGATGCGTGCACTCACCTAGTTGATACATCCCGCCCGAAACATCATTATCCATTGCCTCAGTCGCTCTGCGCACTTCCCCATGCTCAAGTTATGCACTCTCATCCCGTCTCCACTGCATTGCCGCGCTGCCTCCTCCGAGGGCCCAGTGGACTCCTTGACGCTGAACGCCTCGAACTCCGCCTGGCTCGTGGACCAGTGCAGGCAGCAGGCGCTGCGAATGCATTGTGATGACTTGCTCTCGTCTGGCTAAGTGTGACACTGCAACGTGCGTTCGAATCCTCGCCGTGTCCAGGTAGGACGGCAGTGCACCATGTGTCGCCATTGTCCATGCCCCCGTGTCTGTGCATGGCGACAGCGCGCGCTGTGTCGCCGCGGTGCCGCCAGGATTGTCGAGTTCGGATATTTTCGGGCCTCTGGGGGGGTCGACTTATGAACCAGAGCGCTCAATGAACAAAAAATGTTAACTCGTTTTGTCTCGGGCAAGCCCGCATCTGCATTGCCCCCCGCGCGCGTGCGCACCGAATGTGTCGGGCACGACCCTAGGCAACCGACTGTTGTTCCCACCCCCGTGCATCACCGCCCCCCCTCCCAATCTCGTAGGTTCAGTCTCCTTGACCCCCCCCCAGCTGAGCAGCCCTGCAAACGCCAGTCTAGATCCATCTATCCCACTCGCTCGCTCTCTCTATATCTCTCTCTCTCTCTCTCTCTCTCTCTCTCTCTCCCTCTCTCTCTCCCTCCCTCGCTCTCCCTCGCACGGTATATCCCCCTCGCTATGCCCCCGTCGCGCCCCCCCTCTCTCCATGCACACTCTATATCGCGCCGCATCTCCCCTTGCATATGTGTGTAGATCCCCGTCTATGTCTGCGTAGCTAGGCCCTTCCTTGTCTGCGCCAACCATGCGCAGGCGCACGCGCGCGCGCCCGTGCATTGACATGTGCATGCACACACGCACACATATACATGTGTGGGTACATTTTTATATATATATATGTATAGTTACACATATGTAAATACATACATATACACGGACGTGCACACGCACGCACATGCACATTCACATATACACATGGGCTCTTATGTACACATATACATACAACCACACACGGACATGCACATGCACACACATTGTCGTTATATGACGCGTGTTGGCGGCCTTCGGGGTGCCAACGCACCGATATCGTTGGGCTGCGGCGCGTGGCGCCGTTAGAACTCACCACAAGTGCTTTGCAAGTCTTGACGCTT